AAAGATGGAAACTTGAATTCCTAAAGTGATATTTTCTTGAAGGATCCTAGCCCCCAAGGGAATTTTTCCCAAAGACCCCTACCAAACCACCTGAGCCTCAGTTTCCTCAGCCGTAAAATGATTTTTAAAAATCATAATAACTACTACCCACTCCATCTACCTCAAAGTACTGTGGAAGAAATCAAATGATACAATGTTGGTGAAGGTACTTTTAATATTAGATCACTGTGCCTATGTTAGTAATGCTCAGTTGGAACCCTAGGAATAAGAGTAGCTACAATAATAATGGTTTTAGACAATCTGACCCATTCTATCCCTCTCTTAGATATTAATGTAACCCAAATGAAACTGAGCATCTTCATTTTGTTTATTTAGAGCCACTTTTTATGTGATGATACAAGTCTTTAGCTCGTAGAACAATATCTCTGATTTTAAATATATAGAATCTAAAAGGAAAATAGATTTTTTTTTGCCAGGCAACTAAACTACTCACTAGACATCCTTCTTCTTAAACACAAATAGTTCTTACTTGGTGGGGGCCAGAAGGAGAGTCAAAAAAAAAAATCATAAAAATATGATCTTTCATTACATTGCGTCATATTCTGCTTTTGCTAGAAACCATTGATTACAAAGAATTGGTTAATGTCCAGAATCTTTTCCAGCAGTTTTCAATAATTACTTATTTGCACAAGAGACACAGTCCTCTGAAAACCTCTTTTTCCTCCAAATTATGGATTCTTAGAATTAATAGATAATTTTACTGAAAGGATCAGCCCAGTTAGCAAAAGAATAGTGATGATTTGGGGTTGTATTCTGCTGGAAAGCATGCTATTTTGAATTACCTACAGTTAGTGTGATTTCACAATATTATCTGTAAGACAGCATTTTTCTTTGTTGCATTTTCTGCCTCTTTCATATCATTGTTAGCACCACAATAAAGAAACCCTAAAAAGCTGTTCAGGCAAATAATTTGAACAGGAACTTGGGCTCTTAGAAACAACTACATTTGCAGCTCTCCCCCACCTCACATTCAAAAGCACCCACACTTATCTGGTCTCTTTTTCTACTTTCTTCTAAAAGGGAGAGAAATGTATTCAGCATGTAAAAATAAGCTATTGTATCTCAGAAAGGAGATGGGATGCTAATTAAGGGTTGTTTGAATGAACAAGTCACATTGCATTGTCTACTTGGAGCCGACTGCCAATTGCTTTTTTGGTAAAGAGTCAAGAAAAACACTCAAGAGGGCCCCAGCAAGCTTGGGAGAGAAGCAGGCAGCGCTTCCATTTATCAAGTAGTGCAGCAGCCTGCTGGTGTGTTAAGCGTCAGGGTGCAGGCAGCGAGCTCCTACTGGTTTCCAGAGCCACCTTCCTAAACAGGGCCCTGCCGCTCAGGTCTGATCGTGGACAATGGGGCACGTATGTCAGACTGCTGGAGCACTGAATGCCTCTTTCTTTGTTCAATACCTTTTTTAAGATTCTTTGTCACTCTTCTTGGATTCATCGGGAGGCATGTGTTTTAAGATACACAATAGCTTGGGTCTCGCAGAGAAATAATTGATGCTCCATTGAAAGAAACGAGGCAAATTGGTTAGTATGCTTACCTTTAACAAACTGGGAAAATTTTAGACATCTGGCAACTGGTAGATGCAGAGGGAAATAAGTTGTTCTGTTTTTAAAAGGTTTCTTTTCTGAATGTTAACCTTAAGTCAGCCAGAGTAAGCCTTTGGTCTGATTGCCTGACAGAGTTGGGTGGCGTGTAAATAAAGTTGAAACAATTTACTTCTTTTGGAAAACAATCAAAACGTGGAGGGTGTAAATGTATTTTTGTTGTAATGGATGAAAGAAACTGATTCCACTAGGTGAAGTGACTTCTTTCACTGTTCTAGCCTGTGAAGTAGTTGGTAGTTAGTACCGTAGAGCCCTGGAGGTATGTCTCTGATACTCTACGTGTCTTTTCCTTTAGTTCTGCAATTCTCTGATTCTTTTGCTGCTCTTTCAAATCTATAAGTATTTAAATTTTTTTCAAATGCCTTTGACATAAATGTGAACGTATGTGTCCTGAGTATTCGAAGGTCCTGATTGACAGCAACAAGTGAAAGGATTTCTGAATCAATTTGTTGGGGGTGGGGGGCAGAAAATGATTGAGTGCTATTTAAACAATGTTTCTAAAATTTACATTGCTTCGGGGCACTTGAAATAAAACATCAACTTTCATTCTTTATCATTAAAATATGTGATAAAAAATTAATAGTTCTTTGACAGTTTTTGTTTAAAAGGCAAAATAAAATGAGCTTGGATGTATGCTTGGATCTCATTTTGTAGTTTTCTTTTAATAATGGTGCCTGGATATAGTAATAATAATAAAATAATATTTAGTGCATGAAAATCTAATCACTTTGTAGAAAAATGTATCACCCAGTAGTTTTAAAATAACAACAACAATAACATGTTTTAAGTGCTTACTGTATGCTTGGCTTTATCCTAAGTACTTTTCATGTATTAAATCACATGGAAATTGAGAAGAGAAGTTAAGTATCTTGCTCATGGATTCACA